TCATCTGTACGTATTATGTAGTTTTTGAGGAATAGAAGAAGACATACTGAAATGTGGATCATCGCTCCGTAGATTTATCGATCGTGATTCTAAAAAATAACGCTTGAATTACGGAAAAATCCTTGGAAAATGCCGCAGTATCTAAACAGTATTAGAAGTTGAAAAGTAAAACCAACATACGTATGTAATGTGAATTTAGATGATTATTTATTCTTATATTCATACACACGCATTTAAAATCACATATTGTCTTTCTTATTTATACACAAGTATATGCAAACTATTACTTAAATTAAATCATCCTTTTTTCAAAACAAAAATAATAACCGCAGACATTTTAGGAAGTTTTATTGGTTTTATTTTAAAACTTATACAGGATATATTTTACATAAACTTTAAATGACTTTTGAAATTAATAGATGTACCATCTCATTTCCAGCAGGCATTTGCCAGAAAACTTTTGCATGTAAAGGAGTGAAAGGAAAATGTTCTTTAAGCTGTGACAAAGACGAGGTAGAATTTCCTGGGCTGTGTCAAGCAGAACGTGGCTGCAAATGCTGTGTTAAAAATTCTGGTGAAGTATATTCTAACTTTTACTGTGGATACGAAATAATTATATCATCTTTTTGTTTCTTTCTCTTTTTATATATATTTCTGCTTGGCTACATTTCTGTCTTTCTGTTATATTGTATTTACTCTACATAACAATACTTTACTGAATGCATGTATCTATATATATGTACCACAAACATTCTACGTATCTCTCTATCTATTTATGCATACATATTTACATAAATATCTATACATACATATACGTTTTTTTAAAGGTATACATATATATAATTTCAGAGTCCTGCATAGAAACAACCGCATGCAGATTCCTACGAGGGAAGTGTCTCAGGAGCTGTGACAAGGAGGCGTATGAGCTTCCACGATTATGTCAAGGCAGCGGATGCACTTGCTGTATAGAAGGTGGCTAATCATTCCCCATTTCGTTTATTTATCTATTTATTTATTTAATATTTTTTTTCAATTTCCAATTTCATTTCACAATACAGTTAGCTTTTCAAGTTGTATAGAAGGTGGCTAATCATTCCCCATTTCGTTTATTTATTCATTTATTTATTTATTATTATTATTTTTTAAATTTCCAATCTCATTTCACAATATAGCAAACTTTTCAAGGAAATCAGTTCCCTCAACATTTAGGAGAAATTATTTCTACATTTAAAGTAAGTCCAGAGTGCATTCAGTCTATACTTGAGCTTGGCCATGCAATAATCTCGCCTGCAGCAAATGGAATTCTGATAAATATTTGATTTATCTAATCGGGATGCTGAATAAAGGCTAAGAGCTTTATATTCATCTAGAAAACGTAAGTAGAGGGTTATTTGGTAATGTCGGATAAACGATATTTAAGGTAGAGCCAAACGGGAACGTCGAAGTCGGTAATTATATATATGCATGCAAATACGTTAATATTTAGACATAAATCTTCATATGGATATGTATATACACAGACACACACATATATACGTATATATATATATATATATATATATATATATATATATATATATATATATATATATATATATATATATATATTATATATATATATATATATATATATATATATATATATAATATATATATATATATATATATATATATATATATATATATATATATTATATATATATATATATATATATATATATATATATATATATATATATATATATATATATATATATATTATATATATATATATATATATATATATATATATATATAATTATATATATGTACATCTATATCAATCTATCTATATGAAAACACAATCATATGGATATTAACTTATTCATCTATTTCCTTTGATTCAGGAGGCCAGTGCAGGGTGTCCACTCTGTGCAAGAGGATGAAGGGGAAATGCTCCGTCCGCTGCGACAAGGACGAGTTCTCCCTCGAAGGCTTATGCTTCGGGAAAAGCTGTACTTGTTGCGTCAATGGTGAGTCCAAGGAGCCCATTTACTTCTGCTTTTTTTTTTTTTTTATTTTTTTCTTTTGTTATATATATATTTTTCTGAGGTCTTTTTGCTTTTCTTGCTTTTTTTTATTGTTCTGTTTTTTTTTTATTCTTTCTTGTAATATTTTTTTTTCTGAGGTCGTTTTGCTTGTTCTTTGCTGTTTTTTTTATTGTTTTCTCTCATAGGATTATATTATTTTATTGTATTACTTCATCTGTGTATGTAGTCTGCGCGTTCGAAAATATGTCTTTTCATTTATTATGCTTTTGTACGTATGTGTTAGTGTGCGTGTATGTGTATATACGTGTGTGTATATACGTGTGTGTATGTGTGCGTGCGTGTATGTGCGTATGTGTGTGTGCGAGTATGTATCTGTGTATACGCGTGTGAGTGTATGTGTATATTTTCGTGTGTATGTATGTGCGCGGGTGTGTGCGTTTGTGTTTACAGTTGTTGCACCCACAGAGAACGTCTGCAAGACAACCAGGCAATGCGAGGAGCGATATGGACGCTGCAGCAACCGGTGCGAGCAGGACGAATACCCAGTGGCAGGACTCTGTAAACACCGAGGTTGTTTGTGTTGCGTCAAAGGTAATAGTTCCTCTCTCCTTCTCTTAATTTAGATTTGATTTATTTATCTATTTTTATTGTTTCGTTTATTAGTTTTTTTTTTTGGGGGGGGGGGCATGCACAAATATTTCATGGATTCTCTGTTTTCTGAATTGAGAGAATTCAGCAACACTTTACCAAAATGGACATCCATCTGGGTAGATAGTTCCGTGTACTGAGAGATAATGAAATAGTTCCTCTGTGTGGTTCCTCTTTGTCTCTATCTACCTGTCTATCTGTCTGTCTATATATTTGTCTGTTTTTTTTCCACCCTCCCTCCCTCATTCCTACCCCTCTCCTCTCTCTTTCTCAATCTGTTTGTGGTTGTCTGTTTTTCTGTCTCTCTCCTCTCTCCTTCTCCCCCCATTTCTCTCTCTCTCTCTCGTACTCGCTCTCGCCCTTCTATCCTCCACGCCCTCTTTCTCGCCGTCTCCCTCCTTACTATCCCCCCTCTCGTCTCTCTTTCCCTCCTTCCTATTCTCCCTAATTCCCTCCCATCCTCACCCTCTCCCTCCCTTCTATCTCCCTCTTTTCTCTCCCTCCCTCCTATCCCCTCCTTTCTCTCCCTCCCACGCTCACCCTCTCCCTTTCTCCTATCTCCCTCTTTCCCTCCCATCCTCACGCTCTCCCTCCCTCTACCCCCATATTTTCTCTCCCTTCTATCCTCAACTTCTCCCTTCTACCCCCCTATTTTCTCTCCCTCTGTTCACACACACCCTTCCTACCCTTCCAGAGTGTCCGCAGCGCCAGCCTCCCATAGCGTGCATAGTCCTCTATGCTGGCAGTTGCAAAGTTGCGTGCGACCAAGATGAGGCAGAGACAGGCACTTGTGGGTCAGGGTGCAAGTGCTGTGGGTGCCGCCCCTCTCCGCTGTGCAGTGCCTTGGGGGGTACGTGTAGCATCAGTGAGAACCAGTGCCAAGGCGATGTGGTGCCAGAGTGGTGTTCCGGTACAGGCTGCTTCTGTTGCCTCCCCGGTAAGGATCGAACGCCAAATATTTATTTTTTTCGCTTTTCATTCTCTCTCTTCTTTCTGCTCCATTTTCGTTTTTTTTCTCTCTCTATACGAGAAGTCTCTTTTATCCAATTTTATTTTTTCCAAAATATTACTTCCGATACAGAGAGAAAGAATGGGAGTAGGGGCGGGGGGGGGGGTAGAGGGAATAACTGAAAATAGATAGTAAGATATCTAAATATAGATATTTAGGGGAGATAGATAACGTAGATGGATAAGCAATTGATCTTTTATTGAGATAATGGTTGTTACATATATCATTCAGATTTTATTATCCTTTTATTATTCATTTATTTATATATATATTTTTACAAATGTTATATTGCCAATTTTCTCCCCTCATTTTCAACACTTCATACTGTCCATGAATGCACAATTACATTATCTCTGTAGGAGTCATTTCGCTAAAATAAATACGACATAATTTTGATAACAACGCCTTGATAAGATTGTGTGCACTTTATCTATTCACTTGTTTATCCATCTATCTATATGCCTGGATATTTATATATTTTTTAAATTAGTTTAATCGTTTATGTGTTAATTCATTTATATCCACTCAATTTGTTTTATGACGGCACATTATCGCTATAAATGGTAATAGTGATATGACAGGTGCTTCCATAAGTTTATCCAATAAAAAAAAAGAATAAAAAAGCATATTAACAATGACATTGACGTCAACAAGTACATCAACAGGTAAATTAACAAGTACATCGCCACCGACAAATATGTCAACTAGCACATCAACAAGCACATCGACAAGTACATCAATGACATCAACATTAACAAGCACATCAACAACTACGTTATCAACAACATCAACATCAAGTACATCAACAAGTACGTCATCAACAATAACATCAAGTACATCAACAAGTACGTCAACAACATCAACATCAAGTACATCAACAAGTACGTCAACAACATCAACAAGTACGTCAACAAGCACATCAACAACATCAACATCAAGCACATCAACAAGCACATCAAGTACGTCAATATCAAGTACAACAACAAGGATATCAACATCAACATCAAGCACATCAACATCAACAAGTACATCAACATCAAGTACATCATCAAGTACGTCAACAAGTACAACAACAAGCACATCAAGTACGTCAACAACTTCATTAACAAGCACATCAACAAGTACGTCAACATCAACAAGTAAGTTAACAGATACATCATTATCAAGTACATCAACACAACAAGTACATCAACATCAACATCAAGTACATCAACATCAAGTACATCAACAACAAGTACATCAACATCAACAAGTACATCAAACATCAACAAGTACATCAACATCAACAAAGTACTGCAACAAGTACGTCAACGTCAACAAGTAAGTTCATAATCATCATCAAGTACATCAACATCAAGTACATCAACATTAACAAGTACATCAACATCAAGTACATCAACAATAACAAGCACATCAACATCAGCAAGTACATCACCAGGTACATCAAGTACATCAACAAAGGCATCAACTTCTACAAGTACATCAACTATTATATCAACATCAACAAGTATACCGGCATCAACAAGTACATCAATCAGCACATCAGCAGCATCAACTAGTACATCAAGCACAACTACAAGAACATCAGCATCAACAGGTACATCAACATCTACAAGTACGTCATCAGTTACTATATCACCAACAATCACATCTAGTACATCAGCATCTACTACAATCACACCAACATCATCTATAACAAGCACATCAACATCTACAACAAGCACATCAATTTTATCTACAAGAACATCAACATCATCTACAACAAGGGCTTCAACATCATCTACAACAAGCACATCAACATCTACCACAAGCACATCAACATCATCACAACAGACAACAAGCACAACAACATCATATACAACAAGCACAACAGCATCTACAAGCACATCAACATCATCTACAACAAGCACATCAACATATTCTACAACAGCATCTACAAGCACATCAACATCATCTACAACAAGGGCTTCAGCATCATCTACAACAAGCACCACAACATCACCTACAACAAGCACAACAGCATCTACAAGCACATCAACCTCTACAACAAGTACATCAACATCATCTACAAGCACATCAACATCTACAACAAGCACATCAACATTATCTACAAGTACATCAACATCTACAACAAGCACATCAACATCATCTACAAGCCAGTCATCATCTACTAAAAGTGTATCAACATCATCAACTACCAGTACGTCATCAGCATCAACATCTACAACAACAAGCACAACAATAATACCAATAACAAATACACCTACAAAAATAAGCACACAATCTACAACAGACACGTCAGTAATTTCTATTACAAGCACATCAATAACAAGTACATCAGTAACAACAAGCACATCAATAAAGCCAAGAACATCAGCAGCAACACTTATCTCATCAACAAGTACGTCAGCAAAAACATCAACGATTTCATGAACATTAACAACACCAAGGACAATAACGACAACACCAAGGACATTAAAAACACCAAGGGTATTAACAATACCAAGGGCATTAACGACAACACGAAGGACATGAACAACACCGGAGACATTAACGAGAACACCAAGGACATTAAGAACACCAAGGACATTAACGACAACAAAAAGGACATTAACGACTATAAGTACACGGACAACATCACCTACAAGTATACTGGACTGCGCTTATAACTGGTACACCCGTTTTCAGTGGACAGCAAGGGCGTTTGTTTACATTCTTACACTAACAAGTCTAGAATTTTTCTTTTATTCGTGAAAGCTATAACAGTGTCTATGTATGTCGTAATAACACCAACGTTGGGTATGAATAGATTAATATGTATTGGGGAGCTGTGAGGACAGGCGTGTGAAATTAGATCAAACCTCATGATTTATATTATGAAATGAATAACGGAAAGGTGGTGTATAGAGATTTGAAAAAAAAAAAACTAATTGTGTTGTAATCTGCCTTTGAAAAAAAAAATGTAAAGATGGAAGTTCTTTGGCTTGAATACGCACACGTCTAGACACTCGAAGATATTTGATGGGTAATTTGTTTCCGAAATATATAGTATTCGATAAAAATCCGATTTTCGAGACATAAATTTTCATTTTCGCGCTTCATGCCTATCTGTCTAACTAAACTGCTTTTTTCGGTAACTGAGAACAGTCAGTAGATAACAGCGAGTCCCTCGTTATAAGGAAATCCATATTTTCCTGTGAAAAAGCGACGGGTAATACTCTTGATGGTAGAATTATGCAGATACTTTATTTATAAGAAATAATTCTACTCGCATATGTATTCAGGGTAATTTTTAAATTATTTGATCGGAATGTCATATCAAGGCTATCTACTCCAGTCCATTCAAGCTTTGCGTAGTACAAAAATGTAAACAAACACAAAGTTATCGTTTCTGCTGTTCAGAGAAAACGGGTGTACAAGGTATTAGTGCAGGCAACTGTACATCAATAAGACCATCAACATCAACAACTAGGGCATCATATTAACAATAAAAAGTGTATTTACAATATTTACAACATCAGCAGTATGACCATTAACAAGCACAGTAACACAATACAGAAACAAAAAACACACTATTTAAAACACCGATTGGAAATGCATTAACAACAATTGCTACATCAACAAAATTATAACCAATGACAAGTTAGGAAATCAGTTTATCTAAGTACATAAAAAAATCACACGAATCATCAACAATAACATCAACAAGTACACTAACAATTACATCAACGCGAACATTTACACTTATTCATTTACAGTTACACTAACATCCTCAGATTACAGGCACAGGTAGACTCAAGTCAACTTACCGTAAGTAAAGATTTGATTGATGTTTTCTGTTGAACATTTTCCTGGGTTAAGTGTGTGTGTGTGTGTGTGTGTGTGTGTGTGTGTGTGTGTGTGTGTGTGTGTGTGTGTGTGTGTGTGTGTGTGTGTGTGTGTGTGTGTGTGTGTGTGTGTGTGTGTGTGTGTGTGTGTAAGAAATAAATGCGTGTATTGTGTGCATTTACACAAGAATGTGTCCTCGGCTGTATACGTATACACATGCGTGTCATAATCTAGAATCACCGCATTTACCTAGCACTTCCTCTCCCACAGCAACAACCACATCTACGACCACGTCAACGACTTATACAAATACAACAACTATTTCAACAACCGTAATGAGTACACCAACGAGAAATGCAGCATCTACAACAACAAACATACCAACAAATACATCAAGTACACCAGGATCAACAATTACAACAGTAGAAACAAATCAGACATCAACCACTACAACAAATACAACGAAAGGAATCACAAGTCCTGCTACAGCAAGCACATCAACAACTACTTCGTCAACCACAACAAGTACAACAACGACTACATCAACAACTACGACGACTACTTCAACCACCACAACAAGCACATCAACAACTACATCAACAAGTACGTCTTCTACAACAACAAAAAGCACAAGTACATCCACAACATCAAGTACACAGCCACCCCCATCAAGTACAGCAACAAGCACCTCAACAAGTACAACAAGTACAAGTACACAGACAAGTACATCGTCATCAACAAGTACACCGCCAACGACGTCGAGTTCTTCAAGCACAACAACAACAGGAAGTACAACCTCAAGTACGAGAACTGTCACCTCTACAAGCAGCACTGCCTCGCCAGTGAGTACATCTACAAGTGCAACTTTATCATCAACAACAACAAGTAAGTGCTGCCATCATCATCGTCATATCATCATTATCATCTTCAACATCAACATCATCATTCCCATTACCATCATCATTATTATCATCATCAACATTATTATCATCATTATCATCATCATTATCATCATCAATCATATCATCATCATCATCATCACTCATTACCATCATTATTATCATCACCATTATCATTATCATCATCATTAAGATAAGTTTTAATTTGAATTCGTAGTGGTTTTGCCTCATTCTCTGCTATCCGTCTAATGTAAAAATAAATTTACGATGATAAAGATAATAAAAATAACAACAGCAATAAAGGCAATGATAAAAGTATTAATTGATGGTGATAATGATGCGATGGAGAAGGATAGGTTGACACTAAAGCTGTTGATAATCATCATCATCATCATCATCATCATCATCATCATCATCATCATCATCATAATAATAATTACAGCAATGAAATAGACAATGACGCTGATAATAATATCAACCCAAACCACATCAACAAAAATACAACCTTTACTAACACAACTCTCCCCCCCCTCCCCCCTCCCCCACCCCAGCAAATGGTGGTTCATGCCCCCAAACAGCTGAGTGCGCTTTTGTGAATGGGCGATGCAACTCCAGCTGTGGGGCGAACGAACAGGCGCTGTCCGAATGCGTGAGAGGCTGCTCGTGCTGTGTTGCCGGTAAGGAAGGATTTTTTTTTTAATGGCGTTCGGATGTAAATGGTAGATTTGGAGTATTGGTTTGATTTTGTTTGTTTATTTATTTTTGTTGTTTGTTTATTTATTTATTATTCACTTATTTTCATTTTTATTTGTTTTATGTTTATTTAGTCTTTGTTTGTTATTTATTTTTTATTTGTTTATTTATTCTTTATTTGCTTATTCATTTTTATTGTTTATTTGTTTATTTGTTTTTAATTTGTTTAATTAGTTTATTTGTTCTTATTTATTCTTATTTGTTTATTTATATTTGTTTATTTATATTTATTTAGTTTTTTATTTGTTTGTTTATTTATTATTATCTATTCATTTCATTTGTTATTATTCTTTATTTGTTTTTATTCACTTATTTATTCTTTTATTTGTTTATTTAGTCTTTATTTGTATTTTTTTATTTGTTTATTATTTGTTTTATTTAGTCCTTTATTTATTTATTCATTTATGATTTATACATTTATTTCGATAAACGGTTATCAATAATGGTAGTATTAATTGGATAGTAAAAAGGGCGATGCTTGATAAGATGATGATGTGATGTTGATATTTGTAATTAAAATGACGATATTAGCAAAAAGGATGATACTAATGATGGGTTCTATGTTCGGGATGATGATAAAAATAATGATGATGGTAATAATAATAGCGGTAATAATAATCATTATTAATAATGATAATGATTTGGTAATAGGAATATAATGATGATAATGGTAATGATTTGGTAAGACAATCATCATTAACGATAGTGATGATGTAGTAATAATCATAATCATGATGATATAATATAATAACGATAAAGATGATGATAATAATGATATTTTTATTGGTATTGATAGTAATAATAATGATTAGTAGTCATAGTAATAACAATAATAATAATCGTAATAATATTGTTAATGATAACAAAAACAATGATAATATTAACGATAATGATAATGATAAAAATAACGATATGATAATAATATCATGATCATAATAATGATGATGATGATGATGTTAATAGTAACAATAATAATAATAATGATAATAATATGATGATTGACAACAACAATAATAATAATAATAATAATAATAATAATAATAATAATAATAATAATAATAATAATAATAATAATAATAATAATAATAATAATAATAATAATAATAATAATAATAATAATAATAAAAGAATAATAATTATTATTATCATAATTATTGCAATTACTGTTACTATCATTATCATTATCATATTGATAATAGCAATAATAATGATAATGCTAATAATGATAATAATATGATAATAATACTGATTATGAAAATAATGAAAAAATATTGATAACGATAACGATAGTAAGGATAACAATACTAATTATAACGATATTAGCATTAATGATAATAAGGATAATAATGATGATGGTAGCAATAATAATCAAAGGCCGCATGCTGTGCCATTCCTAATTATTTCTGTTGTGTCTAAATTTCACCGTCTGTCAAGTACTTCAGAAAGTCATGTTACTTTGGACTCTAGACCTCGTATCTTAAAAGTACATTTCCCCGTTGAATTTATCCCGGTTATAACAATGATGATGATGAGCATGACAATGATGGTGATAGTGATACTAGTGATTATGAAGGTGATGACTATGATCATGATAATCCTACAAAAACAAAAGGCATAGTAATAATAAAGGTAACAATAATGATGGCAGAAGAAATGATAAAAATGATACAAATCACATGCTAATAACAGTACAAACTTTTTTTTTCTCCTCCAAATACCAACGACAGCTGACCAGTGCGCCACAACAACAGCTGATTGCAAAGCCGTCGGCGGGTCGTGCACTCTGCCCGGCCCTGACCTTGCGTTGACCTGTGATACCATTGACCTGAGTCGGTGCCCCGGTTGTGCCTGTTGTATTGGTAGGTGTTCGAGGTCAATGACGGTTATTTATTGGAGGATGTAGGAAAGGAGGGAGGGATGGTAACACAAAGTGAGTCGAGAGAGAGAGAGAGAGAGAGAGAGAGAGAGAGAGAGAGAAGAGAGAGATTATATATATATATATATATATATATATATATATATATATATATATATTATAAATATGTGTATATATGTATATATGTGTGTGTGTGCGGGGGGGGGGGTGTATGTACATATGCATATACATATATACAGAGAGAAAAATGAAGTGAGGGAGAGAGGAAGTGAGAAAGAGGGAAAAAGAGAGAATGAAATAAGAGAAGCAGGAGAGAATGAGAAACATATAGTAAACAGCAGATACCGCTATGCCAGCCCTCACACCCAGCCTCCCCACAGACTGCCAGCAGCAGACGGACGCCACCTGCAGCAGCCAGTACAACGGGAAGTGCAAGAAAACCTGTGGCTCGACCGAATTGCAAACAGGGGAGTGCCAGGAAGGTTGCAATTGCTGTGGCTGCCGGACGACCAACAGATGCAGTAGTCTCGGTGGACAGTGCATCGCCAGCTTCAGCGACTGTCAAGGTGTGGCGATCAAGGACGAGTGCAGCGGGGAAAGCTGTTTCTGTTGTATACCAGGTAATGAACTCTTTCTTTGGATTTCCTTTGCCTTTGGAATCCTTTGTCTTCGTGTTGTTTCGTTTGGTCGATCGCTTCAGATATAGGAATATTGAATAGCATTGTTTTATCTTTTTTTTATGTTTCAGTTTCAGTTATATTGAACACCAATAAACTACTAAAACAATATACATGTTAAAGAGCACATTACGATAAACAACATTAGTCATACTCAAATTCTATAACGTAAACCCAGAAAAAAGAGAAAATGTGTTAATAAACCGCCAACGCCTTTGCAGAGAGCCCCTGCAGCTGGAGCACTCCGAGGTGCGCCCAGCTGTCCGGTCGCTGCGCCCCGTCGTGCAGCAGCGGCGAAGTCGGAGTCGCTGGCATTTGCGGAAGCGACTCCTGTGTCTGCTGTACCTCCAGTGAGTCTCTCGCGGTTTTAAAGTGTCAAGTGTATAGTAATATGATGGATATATGTTGAGTGTGCTTGTGGCTATTATAATACCGTATATATTTACACTGTGTGATGGGCTTAAATGGTGTTTCTGAATTCAATAATCATAACCTCTTATAACCTGTATGGTTCCTGTGTTCACTCTCAGTAGGCACACACATTAAAAAAAACTACACTTAAACAACCAAACAAACAAACAAAACCAAAATAGATACCCAATAAATACCCCAACTAAAAAAAAAAAAATAAAAAAAACTACCGGCAACTCACCCCCCTTCCCGCCGTCCCCGCAGGCCAGAACCAGTGCGGCGCCAGTTCCCTCTGCTCCAAGCTCGGGGGCAGCTGCGAACAGGGATGCCCGGCCTTCGTCACTTCCATTGATGACCTTTGCCCCGGTGACCTGTGTTCCTGCTGTATCTTCCTGGCTTCTGTCGCTCGGGGGATTCCACCGTGGGACAGGCTTTCCGGAGTATAGGGAGGAGGAACATTTACTAGTCCTTAGCGGTGGAAGGAGGTAACTGGACACACATCTGTTGTTATTGATTTCTTGCAGTTTATTTACATCAATATTATAATTTTCATCAAATTCATTATCATTATCATGATCATCATTATAACGATAACAACAACAACAATAATAGTAATATTAATAATCATCATCATCATCATCATCATCATCATCATCATCATCATCATCATTCATCATCATCCGTCAATGTCAGAAGTATTGGCGTTTTAGCCCTGCTTCTCAAATGTTCTTGCTGCTCCCCGCTGAGTAGCCTTACTGATTAGCACCTAAAAGTCCTGTCCAGCCAAAGAGTTCGAGTTTGAGGCAGCTGTTCCCAGGTTTTAACTAAGCCTCACTCTACGCGGGGCCAGGCTGGAAGCACGCCGATGAGGTCTCTTTCTCTCGCTGCCATTTCAAACGCTGTTTCGCTCCGTGCTCTTCTCAAGATGTCTCAGCATATTCCTCAGTATTTCCATTATCATTATCACCATTATCTCTATTGATGTCGTTATCATGACTATTACTTCCTCCTTTTCATAATCCTTTTCCATATGATCCGCCCCCATTTTCATATAACAAACAATGACAATTTTGACAATAATGATAAAAAAAACTATGATTTCCTTCTCCCGCAGGTGGAGGATGAAACCTTGATGCACTGGCTTCTTCAGGATATCACAGGCGGGAAGACCAAGAGCCACGAGATGTAAAGAAAATCAAAAACTTTTTTATGTGACTTTGTGATTGATGTTAATGCACGGTGTTTGTAGGTTTCACTTATTCTTTTTCTTCTCGCATTTTCTGTTTTATTCTATTTCTTAAAAATCCTCTGTTCATTTCTCTTGTCTATTTTTGATAGGCCCTTCCTTTCCTACTTTCTCTGTCTCTCTGTATTTCTCTCTTTTTCTCTCGGTCTCCCCCTTTCATCCCCCTCCCCCCTCTCTCCATTTTCTCGTTCTCCCCCCCCCCGTCTCTCTCTCTCTCTCTCTCTCTCTCTCTCTCTCTCTCTCTCTCTCTCTCTCTCTCTCTCTCTCTCTCTCTCTCTCTCTCTCTCTCTCTCTGTCTCTCCCTCCTTCCCTCTTTCTTCCAACTCTCCCTCCTTCCCTTCTCGCTCCTTTCCTTTACATCCCTTGCCTCTCTTACTTTATCCCTATCAACCTCTCTCCTTCCAAACTTCGTGCACCGATTTATGGATTTATTGTTATATCATTTTCCCAGAGTATATTTAGGTGTAATGGTTAATAAAAATAGGGTGAAATGGGTCGTGTGTTACTCCTTTTCCTTCCTTGTTTTGGACATTCACTTGCTTAATGAAAGTAGTGATGATAATAATAACTATGATAAGAATGATGATAGCGATAATGATGATAGTGATAATAATGATAATGGTGATAATACTGATCATAATAATCACAACTACTGATAATACTGATAATGGTAACGTCGATGATAATAATGATAATGAAGATAATGGTTTTATTATCAACAAGGATGGTAATGATGATGATTGTGATATTGATAATGATATAATAGATGATGATAATGATAATAAAATTGATGATGATAATGATAATAAAATTGATGATGATAAAGATAAGGATTATGATGATGACAAAATGATTATAAGGGTAATAGAAAAGTAGTAGAAGTGGCAGTAACAATGATACTACTACTAATAATAATAATGGTAATAATAATGATAATTATAATGATAAAAATGATAATGATGATAATAATGATAACAATAGCAACAATGATTACAACAACAACGATAATAATGATGAGAACAATCATTATTGTCATAATAATAATAATAAAGAGGATGATAATGATAACGATAAGGATGAAAATGATAATACATTGCTTTTAACTCGTGTAAGATTAAAAGTCATCTAAGTATGACTTAAACAACATGGATTTGAACCGTTTCATAGTGGCACAAATTCCCCAGGAAGTGAGTTCCACAGCTTTGAACCCCGTAATAGCTGTTGTATTGGGCACGACGTGTGTATAGTGGGACATTCCCATGCTTACACTGGCTCCCCGAGTACTGACATTGCGGTTCATATCCTGGGAACCAATGCAATCGGAATATAATGAATTGATAGATACGGATAGTAGATAAAAGATAGATTAATAGATAGGGAGCCCACACGGGTCAGGGTAGCTGGGAAGGTTACACAATAGGAACCTACTGCAAGGACCTGCCTACTTACACATAGAAATTGACACATACCCGTCAGACTGTTATTGTCTATTGCCTATAAAGACTGTTATTGTTATTGTTATAAAGACTGTTATTGTTATTGTTAGACGGTGGTGGGCGTGGTCTACAGGGTCATGGAAAAAATACTGAAAACTGAGCTGGACTAGCTCGATCAGGTAACAAG